GCAGCATGGGTTTTGAAAAGTCTGGTAAATTACCTTAAAGCCCTACCAATGATACTGACAGGAAATTAGGCATACACACGTAGAAAGGTGTTAGAAAAAAATCAGTGACAAAATTGAGTAAAATGATAAAAATGGACAGCAAACCCGATAGTAAAGGTCTTCGGCCAAATCGTTTGCTACATAGATGGGAAGGCCAGCTAAAGACTTGTCGAGATCCTTGGCAATCAACTTAACCCCCTGAGCACCCACCACCTCACGGTGTTGATGGTAGATGCTCTTAATGCGCAGCTCAGTCATTGGAGCCGGCATTAGGATCCCGCGAACCTGCGTAGAGATAGCACCTTCCTGGCCTGCCAACACGATAGTATCACCCTCGCGGATGCGTCCGTTCACTACAATAATATCCAATGTATTTCCAAGACCAGGTAGCTCTTTTACCTAAGGAAATAATTTAAAAAGTAGAGTATAAAACATTGATTCGACACGTTTGCGGTATATAAACACTAAGATTCAACAATATTCAGATTGGTCCAATTTGTGCTACAATTTTAAATTCACTAATGAAACAATGTTTGTGGATGGAGATAAGTGAGACTAAATAGGGCTTATAAATAAGCCGGACAATTTAGTAGTCGATATGAAACCTATGTAAATAATAAGTATACTACTCATAAGTAGACTGGTTTAATTAGATATAACAGACAATTTGAGATTGAGAATAAGCTAGCCCTGAAGACAATAGATGAGTTGTGTTCACCTTATGTAACATGTGATGAAGAATTTTTCCCAAAATGATATGAATAAGCTCCATGCCACCATTGAATTCCGCTCAGCCTTGTACTCCAAAAGGAAATCCCATCTAGGGTGAACTGTAGTTTCGACTTCGCCTGGGTCTAATCAGCACCCACAACGGAAATCGAACCCGAATATTTCAACGTATAATTTCAGAATCCACTACACTATACTGTTGCGAGTACCAATACCAGTAAAGATAGGGCAAACTTGTATTTTACCATTAGAATTAATTATGTTACTTATATATGAGATCTGTTCACCCTATTTCGTTTAAGGTGATGGAGGACTGCCAGTTGAATTTTTCCACAATGATATGAGTAGGCATGACGCTTCCATTGAATTTCACATAGCC